GGGCTCCCTGCTCCGCGGGGAGCCTGCTTCTCCCTCTGCCTCTGTCTCTCTGTCTCTCATGAATAAATAAATAAAATCTTTAAAAAAAAAAAAAAAACCTGCACACAGATGTTTACAGCAGTTTTATTCAAAACTGTCAAAACTTGGAAAAACCAAGATGTCATTCAGTGGGTAAATGGATAAGCTGTAATACATACAGACAATGGAATATTATTTATCACTAAAAGAAAATGAGCTTTCATGCCACAAAGACATGGAGGAACCTTAAAAGCATACTACTAAGGGAAAAGAAGCCAGATTGAAAAAGACTACATACTGTATGATTCTAAATTATACAACATCTGGAAAAGGTCAAACTATGAAGAAAATAAAAAGATCAGTGGTTGCCAGGGGTAGAGTGGGGGAACGAACAGGCAGAGCACAGAGGATTTGCAGGACAGTAAAAATACTCTGTATGATATGATAAATAAATACGTTATCATTATACATTTGTCCAAACCCACAAAACGCACAACACCAAGAATGAAACCCAAGGTAAACTACGGACTTTAGGTGATTACGATGTGTCAGTGTAGGTGTGTTCTTGGTGAGTGATGTTGATAACGGGAAAGGGATATGCATGTGAAGGGAAAGAGATATATGGGAAATCTCTGTACCTTCCTCCCAATTTTGTTGTAATCCTAAAACTGCTCTTTAAAAAATAAAATCTTATTTTAAACATACACACACACACATACACACACACACACAAAGACTATGTATGATTACAGTGGTTTTATATTCAGATCCTCAACCTTTAGAGTATGCTTTATTTTACAGACTTGACTGGTTTCTCTGAAATGTTACCATCACAAGTCATCAGAATTTGAAGATCCAACTCCTACACTTACACCTACACTTACACATCTTAAAATGAAACCTGTTACTGCAAACAACAGAGTCTAAATTGTTCATGTCAGAAAAATAGACTGCTGTTAAGTTAAATATTGCAAAAACCTAGCAAACCTACTGTAATTTGGTGAATCAAAATTAGACTCTACAGACCTACTGTAAGTAAATATCCTGAAGACCTGGGAGTAAACTAAGAGGGGAGAGCAGGGAGTTAGCTGTATAATTATACTATGATTATTTACTGATCTATGAAAAGCACAGCACTGAGTAAAGCCAAGGTAAAAATAAACAACTACCAGAAATGTGGCAGTAAGCCCAAAGAAAACACAGAATCTTACATTCTTTTGCAAACCCCAAATAATCAGTAATGAAAACTTAGACTGCACAGGGTAAATGGTGAATTTATACACCTGTTCAAATGCTTGAACTAAAATAATGGTAGAAAGTAATGAAGACTACCACTCATATTCTCTATTTTTATGTTTATATTTTTCAAAATCACACACATATTATGATGTAATAGTGATTATTAACTAAAATAAAACAAAGCAAATATACTTTGCAATAAGCACGTCAAAAAATGACTGTGGTTCGGGCGCCTGGGTGGCTCAGTTGGTTAAGCGACTGACTTCGGCTCAGGTCATGATCCTGGAGTCCCAGGATTGAGACCCGCATCGGGCCCCCTGCTC